AAGATGCCAAAAAGCAGCCCAAGAGGTCCCGAAACGACCCCCAAGAGGCCTCAAAACTGCATCCGAGAGGCATCCGAGAGGCCTCCCACGAGATCGCAACGAACATTCAATAGACGTCATATCCACAACCCAGGTACGGTGGCGGGACGGGCCGAAAGCGATTAAATCCCCAACCCCCTGTCGATTCATCGCAGGGGTGCCTGGCGTGTCAAACCCTCTCGGTTTTGGTTTTGGTTCTATTCCGAAAGAACTCCCCCTGGGGCTTCGGCCCGTCCCGCCGGGGTCCCGGGAAGGATCTCAAAACGCATTCGTCTTGCCTCTGTTTCCTCCAGTTGGCCCAAGATGGCGTCCAAGACGGCCAAGATGGCCCAGGATGGTCTCCAAGACGCCCCAAGATGGCCTCCAAGACGGCTAAGATGGCCCCAAGATGCCTCCAAGACGGCCGAAGGTGTACCCAAGACGGCCTCAGATAGCCTCAGGATGGCCTCAACATGACCCACGACGGCCCAAGAGGCCTTCAATACGGCCCAAAAAGCCTCCAAGAGATCCTCCAGGAAGGCCCGACGAGGCCAAAATCATTGATTTTCCTTCGGTGTTTGAAGGATTTGGGGATTTGCTTCTTCTCGGCATTCCGACTGCTCAAGAAGGCCCAAGAGGCCCCCAAGATCGCCCCAAGATCGCCCACGAGGTCTCCAAGATGGCCCCATGACGGCCCAAGAGGTCTCCAAGACGGCCCCAAGAGGGCCCCAAGAGAGCGGCCTCCAAGACGGCCAAGATGGCCTCCAAGACGGCCAAGATGGCCCAAGGTGGCCTCCAAGATGGTCCAAGATGGCCTCCAAGTCCGCCCAAGAGAGGAGGAGATGCCTCCAAGTCCGCCCAAGAAACCTCCAAGACGGCCGAAGACGGCCCAAGAGGTGCCCAAGAGGCCTCCAAGACGGCCCAGGAGGCCTCCGAGAGGTTCTCCAGGAGGGCCCGAAGAGGCCAAACTCATTGATGTTCCTTTGGTTTTCGAAGGATTTCCGTATTTGCTCCTTTTCGGCTTTCCGACGACCCAAGACTGCCCAAGAGGCCCCCACGATCGCCCCCACAGCGCCCAAGAGGCCTCCAAAATGGCCTCAGGACTGCCCAAGAGGCCCCCAAGACGACCCCGAGAGGGCACAAAGACGCCCAAGGTGGCCTCTAAGACGGCCCTGGAGCATCCCAAGAAGGGCCCAAGTCGGCCCAGAGAGGCCCCCCAAACGGCTTCCGACGGCGTGAGACGGGCCCACCAAAATGGCCGAAGTTGGCTCGACGCTGGCCCAAGACGGCCCAAGAGGCCTCCAAGACTGCCCAGGAACCCTCCACGACGTTCCCCAGGAAGGCCCGGAAGGGTGAAAATCATTTATTTGCCTTAGGTGTTTGAAGGACTTTGGCGTTTGCGTCCTTTCCGCGTTTTCCGTCGGCCGAGGACAGCCCAAGAGGCCCTTCAGATCGCTTCAAGAGCGCCCAAGAGCCCTTCAAGATGGCCCCATGACAGCCCAAGAGGCCCCCAAGAGGGCCCCAAGAAGGCCCCAAGACCGCCCAAGATGGGCCTAAGACGGCCCTCGAGAGGGCCCCAAGTCGGCCCATAGAGGCCCCCCAAACGGCTTCCGACGGCGTTAGACAGACCAGGAGCCCACCAAGACGGCCGAGCATGGCCCTAAGATGGCCCAAGACGGCCCAAGAGGCCTCCAAGAGGACCTGCAGGAAGGTCAGAAAAGGCCCAAATCATTGATTTCCCATGAGTTTTTGAAGGATTGTGGCAGTTGTTTTTCTGCCTTCCGACGGCCCGAGACGGCCCAAGTGCCCCCAAAGATCGCCCAAGAGGCCCAAGACACGGCCCCAAGAGGCCCCCAAGACGGCTCAAGAGATCTCTAAGACGCTCAAGATGGCCTCCAAGACGGCCCAAGAGCCCTCCAAGACGTCCTCCGAGAAGGCCCGAACATGTCAAAATGGCCTCCAGACGGCCAAGATGACCTTGAAGATGCCCACGTGTTCCCCGAAGGCTTTCCAAACCGATTCGGGGAACACATGGTCCGATAGCTTGGCAGATCTGGCCTCAACATTCGGCCACATAGGCGCTTCTAAAAAGGCAGGGGGCGGCGGTGATTCGCCGTAGGCGTCTTCGATCCGCCGCCCCCAGCTGGCTTGCCACAAGGGTGCCCGGCGTGCTGAACCCTTTCGGTTTGGGTTCTTTTAGAAAACTCCCTGGGGCTTCGGCCCGTCCCGCCAGGGTCCCGGAAACTCCGGAAAACTCTCCCAGAGCCGGTTGCCGAGGTTTTTCCTGCTCCAGACGGCTCCAAGATGGCCTCCAAAATGGCCAAGATGACCTAAGATGGCCTCCAAGTTCGCCCAAGATGGTCCAAGATGGCTTCCAAGACGGCCCAAGAGTCCAAGATGCCTCCAAGTTCGCACAAGAAACCTCTAAGACGGCCCAAGTCGGCCCCAGAGGCCTCCAAGAGGCCTCCAAGACGGCCCAAGAGGCCTCGGAGAGGTCCTCCAGGGTCCTCAAGGAGGGCCCGAAGAGATCAAAATCATGTATCTTCTGTATGTATTTGAAGGATTTTTGCTTTTGCTCCTTTTCGGATCCCGACGGCCCAACACTACCCAAAACTGCCCAAGAGGCCATCAAAATCGCCCCAAGAGTGCCAAAAAGCCTCCAAGACGGCCCCAGGACGGCCCAGGAGGCCCCCAAGACGGCCCCACGAAGGCCCCAACACGGCCCAAGAGGTCCTCAAGAATCCCCAGATGGCCTCCAAGACTGCCAAGATGGCCCCCAAGATGCCTCCAAGACGGCCAGGATGGCCTCCAAGACGGCCAAGATGACCCCAAGATGCACCCAAGACGGCCCAAGATGGCCTCAAGATGGCCTAAGACAAGCCAAAGGCCCGCAAGAGGCCTCGAAGACGGCCCAAGAGCCCTCCAAGACGTCTTCCAGGAAGGCCCAACAGGGTTAAAATCATGTATTGTTCTATGGTTTTTGAAGGATTGTGGCTTTTGCTCCTTTTCAGCTCTCCGACGGCCCAAGACGGCCCAAGAGGCCCCCAACATCGACCCAAGAGCGCCCAAGAGGCTTCCAAGACGGCCCCATGACAGCCCAAGAGGCCCCCAAGAGACCGCAAGAAGACCCCAAGACGGCCCACGAGGTCCCCAAGACGCCCAAGATGGCCTCCAAGACGGCCAAAATGGCCTCGAGATGGCCGGCAAGACGGCTAAGATGGCCCGAAGTTGCACTCAAGACGGTCAAGATGGCCTCAAGATGGCCTAAGACGGCCCTATAGGCCCACAAGATGCCTCCAAGACGGCCCAAGAGCCCTCCAAGACGTCCTCCAGGAGGGCCCGAAAGGGCCAAAATCATTGATTTTCCGATGGTTCTTGAAAAAGATTTTGGCAGTTTCTTCTTTTCAGCTCTCCGACGGCCCAAGACGGCCCCCAACATCGACCCAAGAGCGCCCAAGAGGCCTCCAAGATGGCCCCATGACGGCCCAAGAGCCCCCCAAGCGGGCCCCAAGAAGGCCCCAAGACTGCCCAAGAGGCCCCCAAGGCACCCAAGATGGCCTCCAAGACGGTTGCCTCCAAGACGGCCAAGAAGGCCTCCAAGACAGCGAAGGTGGCCCCAAGATGCACCCAAGACGGCCCCAGATGGCCTGAAGATGGCCTTCGACTGCCCAAAAGGCCCGCCTGAGGCCTCCAAGACTGCCCAGACGGCCCAGAAGGCCCTCCGCGACGTCCTCCAAGAGGCCAGAAAGCTCGGAAACCACCTGGTCCGATAGCTCGCCCGACTCGGTGTTCCCCGAAGGCTTGCGAAATCCACTCGGGGAACGCGTGGCTCGATAGCTTGGCCAAGCTCAAACCCAGTTTTCGGCCACGCAGGCGCTTCCAAAAAGGCAGGGGGCGGCGGTGACTCGGTTTAGGCGTTTTCGATACCATTCGCACCAACCAGTGCACCACACAGTTGCGCAACATGCAGTAAACATCAAAAGTGCAAGAATAAAATGCGTGTCCCACGCTGGCAAGCACGCCTTCTCATGAGTCCGAATCGTGGCACTAATCCTTATCAGCAGCAACGCCATCAGCATTGTTATCACAATCATAATGCCTCCTGCCTTCTATTCACACTGCATTGCGACCTCCGCCCACCGTTGTCCTTCCTCCCCCACAAGTTTCATCAACTGCCCGAACACCCCAAGATCGGACGTCTCGGGACAAGCGGTGTACCTTCCCCATCCTCATCATGTGTCCTTCTTGCTCCCTCCTCATCCTCCTCATACTCTCTCATTCCTCGCCCCCTCCTCCTACTTCATATCCCCAATGCCTCCTCCCTACGCCTTCACGGACCCTCGTCATCGTCATCCATTTTTTCCCTCAACCCAGATTCCCGACAATGCTCACGCAACCCTCCTCCCTCCCTCCTTTCCGCCGCCCCGTCCACATCATGCAACCCCCTCCTCCACCTTCATCCAGCTCCTCCTGCCCCGCCCCCCTCCCCCCCCTCCTACACCCCAATCTCCTCCCAATCCATCATCCCCGCTCCCCCCCAAATCCTCCTCCTCCTCCTCCTCCTCATCCTCCTCATTCTGTATTCTCCTCAGCCACATCATCATCATCATCATCATCATCATCATCATCATCATCATCATCATCATCATCATCATCATCATCGTCATCATCGTCATCATCATCATCATCGTCATCATCAGCATCATCATCATTGTCACCACCACCAGCATCCTCAGCAACATCAGTACCAGTATCGTCATCATTACCATCATCACCATTACCATCACCAGCATCATCATCTCCATGATCAGCATCATCATCATCATCAGCATCATCAGCATCGTCATCATCATCAGCATCATCAGCATCGTCATCGTCGTAGTCAGCGCACCTGGGCTCAGGCCGCATCCCAGCAGCGCGACAGGGCAGCGCTCGTCCGACCTTCCTTTTTCGGGCGCAGCCCTTTTCCCTCGAGGCGCCCAGCAGCCGAGCGCGGCCGTCTCGAGGGTCCGCGGCGCATGGCTGGAAAATGCGCGTGCTGAGACCTCGCTGCTGTCGCTGATCTCCCTCCTCCTCCTCCCCCTCCTCATATCCCGTCCTCCTCCTCCTCCTCCTCCTCCTCCTCCTCATCATCATTTCTCCTCCGCATGGCTGGAACATGCGCATGGCTTTTTCTGTACAACTCGCTGCTGTCGCTGATCTCCGCGGGCAGGTGCCGAGCAGGGGCGCACGAGCTCGGAGCAGGTGCTGTCCTTCTCCCTGGGGGTCGCACTCGAAGTTGGGGTGGCCGTCTGCATCAGGTGGAGAAGCTGGGCGACGGGTGCTCTGCGATTCACTTTGGATGGGCTGCTTCAGCGTGGACGAATCAGCCAGCTGGTTGCACAATCTTTCTGGGCAGACAGTTTAGAATCAACGACGTGGTGTTTTTTCTTAAGCCGCCGAAGGCAAGTCAAGGCAGAGCTGGAGCGGCGCGGGTGAAGAGTGGCACGTTCGACGTGACGCTGGTCGTCGGATATCCACCACCGACAGGCGCCACGGGCAGGAAGATCGCGGTGCACGAGGCGGCGGTAAAGGCGACGCACCAGCGGGTGGATCATTTCGTGAAGGGCACGCGTGCCCGCTCTCTTCTTGCTGTGGGCATGGATGTGAGCTTTGGAGAACGAAGCGATGGGGTTCCTGTGGCAGAGGAGCATGCGGGATAATATAACAGAGCAAAGCGGAACATGTCGGGCGACCTTGCGGAGCAGCTGTGCCTGATTCGCAACTTGTGCTCACCTAGTACTTGGTATCCTGAGGGTGGGCCCACTTCCTTCGGTACCAATGGGGTGTGTTCTACGATCGACTACTGGTTCATCCCAAAGTCTGTGATGGGGAATGTCCTCGACTGCAAGGTGAGCTACTACCATGGGAGGCGGCTACAACTCATACTCGATCGTCGCCCACGCGATTATCGACCGCTTTTGCTTGATCTTGGTTACATTCTGGAGATTCAAGATGGAGCCTCAGATTTGACAAAACAAAAAAACATGACATGGGAAGGTCGCGATTCGTTCTTACGTCAACTGGAGGATTGTCTCGCCCAGCACGAGAATGAGTTCACATCCCTCAGGGAAGACAGGCGAGTTGACGAGCACTGGAGTCTGGTTATGCAACTAATGCAGGAAGCTGGTCAAACACACTTTCGAAAGCACCCGCCAGATAGACATAATACTGCAGAGGCAAGTTTGCAAGTTGAGAGGCGACGGCTAGTGGCGCTTCGTGCGGAGGAACGAGTACGAGTGGCTGAGCAGGGCTCCCGAGGGTCCGACTCTACTGGCGACGACGAGCAGGTGGAACCCATTAAGTGGCTCACCAAGCAGCTCAGACAATGGGCACGTAGGCGACGAGCTCAACGACGTATGTCACTGGAGACGGACCTTGCTGAGGCTGAGAAGCTGGGGCACACTTACAAAATGCATCGGATTGTACATTTGTTGGCAGAACGAGCTCATGGTACCAAACGGAGGCAATATCTCACGACGCCTGAGTCACGACCGCCGGCGGCGGCGGTCGCGGCATGCATGGCGAAGCCGAGCGCGGAGGGAGGCATGTCAGCAGCACGCGTTGATCGAGCTGAGCCTCTCACCCGTCGTGGTACCACAGCCGCATGTCTCACAGAAAGGAGTGCGCACCTTGAAGAAATGGCTGAACGCGATCTTAGTCGTACGATCTGGGCAATGCGAACGAGCGAGAAGCGCAGAGGATCGGTGCAGTGGAGTATTCCAGTCGAACGTCTTCTGTGCTGCATTGATCCTGGACATTGCACTTCAGCGAGGAGACCACCATGGGGACTGGGACAACCATCGATCGAAGAAGTCGCGCAGTCTTGCCGCAGATGTTTGGAAGTGCAGGAGGTCTTACTTCATGTACGCCGAGCTGATCACGCGCCTGCGGCTGCGCACTGGTCTTTTGGCTTCGCCCTGGACGGCAAGAGGCTCATACACCTGGTCCTCACTTTCTGGAAGTTTTTCTTCGGCGGTCTCCTTCGGGAGCCGAGTTGTCGCGAGCACGGGTTGAATTTCGACCCGACCTGTCACGCCGTAGAGGAGTTGGCGGACTCGGTGGACTGGGCCCTGCTTCGCGACAGGATTCATCATCATATCGTGGAGGTCGAGGCGCGTGGGGGGCGTTGCACTTTGTCATCGGTCGCGGTGGTCTCATGGGGACTTGTGAGACGCCCAAGGAGTTCGCTGAGGGTGGCGCAAGGGATGCAAGAACTCGGAGGATGCATATTCGACACTTTTCTCGGCCCTGCGGACGGGGCGGAAGCGCTGAAGATGGCGGAGCAGACCCACAACTACGCGGAGGCGGTGAAGCGCGACGGGAAAGGTCACCCTCACGGAGCACCTTACATATGGGCGTTCGCGGGCTTGCTGGCGGGGCTTCGAGAACGTGGAGAAGCAGTGGGGGCCCAGAACGCGAAGGCGCTGCAGGACATGATGGAGTGGCTCGACGCGCATGGCGTGGAAGAGAAGATGGAGATGATACGGATGTGCCGTCTGGACAAGACGTACGACAAGGAGAAGAAGCGGATCACCTTCGTGCTGCGAGACGAACGTTGGCGCCAGACGGTGATCGCGTGCGGCGTTCAGGCGGGGATGGAGCGCAAGCAAGGGAAGGCTTCTGCGTCGTTCATGGAGAGGGAGCTGGTGGGCAGCTGAGAGTCCGACGAGCTCGCGCTGGTGAGCCTGCTGATGCACCTGAGAGCGTACGTGCGCCTGCTGGTGATGTACCTGAATTGGTACGGGAGCCTGCTGCCGTACATGCGCGGGTCCGTGCGCCTGCTGATGTGCCTGAGCTGTCACGGGAGCCTGCTGTGGTACTTGAACTGGTACCTGAGCCTGTCGCTGCAGGCGACCTTGCTGCTGCTTTGCCTGACGGCAGCTCCGCCGTTGTGCTGAGTGTCTCGTCTGACAATAGTTCTCCCCCCTCTCCTCCTCTGACCTCGGGGCTGCCTGGGACTTCTCCTGACCTGTGTCGTGCCGCGTCCCGCTGTGGCTCCTCGGTCCTCGCCTCGTCCTCTTCTCCCTCGTATGCGCTGGGAACCCAGGGGTTTTCGGAGCTCACCGCGACAATTGCGGAGGCCCCCTGGGAACCCACGACCTCTGAGGCTCTTTTTGATTTCTCTCGGGATTGAGCGGGGCAGCTCCCGCTGGAACACTTTAACGGGTAGTGAAAGGTTGCACTCGATCTTAAACGCACGAGGCACTGATTCGTTTCCTCCAGTCGGCGGCAACTCTCGAGTCGGTCGGCGGGGCCAACCGTGGGCCACGTCGGCCTTAGGTGCGGCCCCCTCGCCCTGCGTTCTTCGCTGGTCGTCTCGGTCGAAGTCACCGCACGCCGCCTCTTTCGGATGTCGGTGTATATCAGAGTGACGAGTCACGGCTCCTCGGCAGAAGTTTCGCAGGAGCACATCACAATGACAAAACACACATAGGGGCCCACGGCGCTAAATGAAAAAACATCATAGTCATCATAATCATCAGCATCATCATCAGCATCATGCCCATCATCATCAGCAGCATCGTCACCAGCAACATTACCAGCATCAGCAGCATCAACGTATGCATCATCAGCAGCAGCATCGTCATTATCAGCATCATCATATGCACCATAAACAGACTCAGCATCATCATCGTCGTCATCAGCATCATCATTATCCTGATCGTCAGAATCAACACCAGTTTCATCATCAGCATCATCTTCATCGTCGCCGGCGTCGTCGCCATGATCATTAACAGCACCATCATCATCATCAGCATAATTATCAGCGGCAACATCACCATCATCATCACCATCGCCATCGCCATCACCCCAATCATCACCACTCCCATTATCATCGTCATCACCATTAGCGTCATCAGCATCATCATCATCATCAGCAGCGGCATCAGCAGCATCGTCATCATCATCGGCATCATAATCGCCGTCGTGGTCAACATCATCATCGGTACCATACTCATCAACAACACGATCCTCATCACTATCGTCAGAGCACCACCATCATCAATAGCAACACCCGCATCCTCACAATATCCCTTCTCATCAGCATCATCATCAACATCGTCACACTCATCAACATCCTCATCCTCCTCCCCATCAGCACCAGCCCCATACCTGCCATTCCTCCTCCTCCCCCTCCTAACGTCCCATCTTCCTCATCGTCCTTCTCGTCCATTTCGCCGTTGCAGAGCGCTTCTTCTTGGCCACCATCAGCTTGAAGCGGTCGAAGTCGGACATGGCAGCGCGGGTCTCCTTGGCCTTGACCTTCTTGGCCCACGACGTCTCCGCCCACTTGGACATAATGCCGTCCTCGCGTGGGCCCCCCCGCCCCCTCACCCTCTCCTTCCCCCCTTCTCCTCCTTTCTCCTTCCTCCTCCTTCCTCGTTCCTCCTCCTCCTTTCTCCTTCCTTCTTCCTCCTCCTCCTCCTCCTCCTTTCTCCTTCCTCCTCCTTCTCCTTCCTCCTTCCTCCTCCTGAGTCATGCTCTTTCGCGTTCTGGCGGCGGGTGGGAGGCGTGGCGGCGGGGGGGGGGGGTCCCGTCGCCACGGCTGGACGCGGCCCGAAAAACGCACCAGCATGCACCCGGGGAGAAGCCTGGGGACGGTGCGGGAGCGGATGTGGGAGAAGGGGGGGAGGAGGAGGAGGAGGAGGAGGAGGAGAAGGGGGGGAGGAGAAGGGGGGGAGGAGAAGGGGGAGGAGGAGGGGGAGCGGATGTGGGAGAAGGGGGGGAGGAGACGGGGGGGAGGAGGAGGATGAGAGAGGGGGGACATAAGGGGAAAGGGGAGCGCGAACAGAAAGAGAAGAGTGACGAAGAAGAGGGGGGAAACGCAGGAGGATGAGGCAACGGAACAGAAGGAGGAGGAGATCCTCACGATGCCGGGGAAAATGGCAATAGTGCCCACGCCCACTGCCTCCAAGTTCCTGTTTACCTATTCTCAGGCTCCTCCTCACACTTCTTCCTCCCGCCTCCCTCCTCCCGTCTCGCGTCTGCCCCCCCCCCCCACTCTCGCCCCCCCTAAAACTACACATTATGAATTCTCCCCTGCTTCGGGCTACTGGAATCTTGACCTAAGGAATCTGGCATCACTCGAAGCGTTTTCTCAAACCGTAGTCGAAGTCCACATGTACGGCAGATCTACCGAGGAGAAGAAAATCTGAGGAGACGCCCAGGGTCGAGCTCAGGTTCGTTACTTGCTGAAGCGACATCTAGAATCCATGAAACATGATGTTGTTTTCTATTCTGACTTCTGACGGGCGTACTAATACCCTCACTCCTCTGGCGCCGTCCTGAAGATGGCCGCTTCTCTCTGTGGGCTGTTTTATGTCGGCACGGGACTTCGACCGTAAATCTGTCTTATGGTATATCACATTAAACTGTTGTTTCTGGCGTTTCATATTGTTGCTCCCGCTGCAGCATGGGTCTCATTTTCGGGATCGGCGCTTTGCTACCGTCGTTCAGATAACGATCCTGCCCCAGCGCGGGCCACTTTTCTGGATCCGGATTATTTTCCATCGCTACCGCCCCCTCGTTTCCACTGCTTCGCCTTCCCATGGTCCTCCTGCTCCTCCCGCTCCTTCCACTCCAGCCAGTTCTTCCTGCCAGTGTTCGTCCTCGTCCTCCTCCTTCAACATCGTCCTCCTTTTCCTCCCGCTTCCTCCTGCTCATCCCCCTGCTCACCCGCCACATCCTCCCCCTCCTCCTCCTCCTCCTCCTCCTCCTCCTCCTCCTCCTCCTCCTCCTCCTCATCATCATCATCATCATCATCATCATCATCATCATCCTCATCATCCTCATCCTCCTCCTCCTCCTCCTCCTCATCCTGCTCCTCATTCCCCCTCCCCCTCCAATGTATGCAGCTCCCCTTTTTTCAGATTGGGCATCACACCATGTGGTCTTTTCTTGGAGTTCCAGGTCAGCTATGGCACGCGTCCGCGGACATTGAAGAAACAGCAAAATGACAAAGAGTGAATCTGATGTCAAACGTAGCGCGAGCGCACAGCGCAATGGAGGAGGAGGAGGAGGAGGAGGAGGAGGAGGAGGAGGAGGAGAAGGGTGACGACGACGGCGACGACGCGCAAGACGAAGAAGAAGCAGGAGAAGACTAGTCAGAAGACGAATAAGAATAGTAACAAGAAGAAGGAGGAGGAGGAGGAGGAGGAGGAGGAGGGACGGGCCTCCACCCTCCTAAGCAGCACACGTGTCCGCGAGCACCGGGGGGTGGGGCGAGGGGGGCAGCCTTCGAATGAGACAGGGGGTCCTCTGAAGCCCTCCTCCGACCTCTTCTAAGAAGCCCACCGCCTTCTTAGAAGGCCATCCCATTCGCACGATCCCCTTGTGCGCACGGCCAGTGGAAACGGACAACCGAAACGATCAGAAACTGGCCGTCACATTCCCAGACACATTGTTTCTCGGGCCATGGCTTTCAGTCCGCATCACTTGCTCACCTTCTCCCCCTCCTCTCCCACCAGGAGCTCGACCCACAACCCCAGAGGGTGCATCCGCATGCCGTCCCTGGCAAAGGCTGGGCACACACCATTCACACGCTTCGTGCATCCGTAAGGAGCTGCGCCTACGGCCCAAGAGTGTGCGTCCGCATGCCGCCTCGCGCCCACTGTAGCACACCCCATCACACGCTTCGTGCTCCCATGGGGAGCTCCACCTGGGCCCCATCGGGTACGTCCGCATGCCGCCCCTCGCCAAGTGTAGCACACCCCTCAAGCTTCGTGCCTCCATATGGGAAGCTCCATCTACGGCCCCAGCGAGTGCGTCCGCATGCCTCCCCTCGCCCACTGGCTACACGCAGGAATGACCCTGGGCAAGAGTGACCAACTCTAGTGCGCGTGTGCAAGAGACCGAGGGGGAGGTCAAGTCCAAGCAATCCTGTGCGCCTGCACGTGCTGGTGGAAGGGCCACTCTTACGTGTAGCCGAGCCCACTGTAGCACAACCCTCGCACGCCTCGTGCCCCCCCTATAGGGAGCTCCCCCTGCTGCCCCAGCGGGTGCGCCCGCACGCCGCCCCTCCCTCATTTGAGCAGACCCCTCGAACGCCTCGTGCCCCTGGGGGGCTTCACTTACGGCTCCAATGGCGGCGTCCGCATACCGCCCCCCGCTGATTGTGGCACACCCCTCACGCGGATCGTGGCCCAAGGGGGCCCAAACTCCATCCATCCATTCCGCGGCGCGTTAGGTATGAGAAGGGGGCCGCGCCCAGCGCTGCACGCAGCAGCATCAGGGATTCATGACGTTGGGCCCCTCGCCAGGCTAATTTTTTGTGACGCCAAGATCTGCGGGGGCGGCAGCCACGCGCACACACTTCCCTCTAACAGCACTGGCGTCGGGTCCCTCTCCAGGGCCCCCCGCAGCGTCTTCTCGCGGGCGCCGCGCGGGACGGTCGTCTTGAAGTCGGTGAGGCTCAGCCGCTTCACTGGCATCATGTGCCGGGCAACCCCGGTGACCTGACCCGTTCATCGTCGTCGCCCTCTACAAAGAGGCTCGAGGACCGAGGTCCCAATCGACAAGAAACTCTTGCACCGTGGGCGCTTCGTAGCCGCCCTCTGCGCCAGAAACTGTTCGAAGTCGAGCTGGAGGGAGACTGGGGATTCACAACCGTGGTGTACCTTGCAATGGATATACGTACAGCTGGAAATGCATGTATGCATGTATGTATGTATGTATGTATGTATGTATGTATGTGTGTGTGTGTGCAGGTATGTCTACACGTATGCCTGTATAGGTGTATGTTTGCATGCGTGTATGTATGCATGTATGTATGTATGTGTGCATTCATGCATGAATGGATGTATGTATGAATGAAGGTAAACATCACTGTATGAATGCAGGGGGGTACGGCTATATAAATGCATGTACGTACAACTGACAACAAAAACGCATGCATGCATGCATGTATGCATGACTGTATGCGTGTATGTATGTGTGTGCATGTATGGATGCATGCATGCATGCCTGTATGTATGTATGTGTATAATGTGCGTACGTGTATATATGTATGTGTGTATGTATGTATATGTGTGCATGTGTAAGTATAGTTATGTAGGCATACATGCAGGCAGGTATACATGTATTTACGTATGTATGTGACTGTGCATACATATAGGCACACGTATGTGTGTATCTAAGTATGTGGATTTGTATGTATGCATGCACGTATGTCTTTATGTGTCTATGCGTGGTTGTATGTATGCACGCAGGTATACATGCATGTAGGTAAATGCATGTGTGTAGACATGCATGTATGCATGCATGTATGTATGGGTACGTTTATGTGTGCACGTGTAACTGAAAGCATGTATGTATCTAAGTATGTTTGTATGTATGTACGCATGCATGCGGAAAGACATGGATGCGTGTATGTTCATCTGTAGTAGATGTATTATGATTGTGTGCTTGTATGTACTTATGTGAGTACAAATGTATGTAATTACATACGTATATGAAAATGTTCACATGAGTGTATGCATGCTTACGTAGATGCGTCAATGACGACAACTACAGAGACGAGGGCCTCATGAGGCATACGAAGGTGACACCATACGCGAACGCGACCTTGCCACCCACCGTCTTGGAGCAAGTTCGGTGGAGGGGAAGAGCAGAAGAAGAGGATCAAAGGAGGCAAACACTATGGTACCTAAGACGAATTGGGTGCACTACGCCACTTCGAACCTTCCAAACGCTCACCACGCATTACAAAGCGTAATGATACTTGAGGAGTGGACGCGGACACTCAGAGGGCTGAGGGGAGATTACATGAAAATGATCGTGACTCGTGGCCAAGTAAAACGTAGATCCCCTGAGCCGGTGTGAAACTAGAGTCGAACGTCCGAGCATAGCGTACACGCATTGAGTTGTAAGAGTAGCTAGACGAAACAATCAAACATGCCTCCGTCTTCTTCTGGTGACGGGGGCAAGACGGAAGGATGCCACGAAGGGAAGGTAGGGCATGCCACGTTTCGAGAACATGTCGAACATGCGGCTCCGTCCCTAGAGGCTTGAAAGTCCATGCAATGATCCAATCGCCGGACGAGGTAAATCTTCGAGCGATGTCAACGAGCGGTTTGGGGTGTTCCGCAACACGAAGCAGGGCAGCACGACCAGCGCGCTCCAGGCACCAATCTTGAAGGGGAAGGCCAAGGGAACGCAGGGAGCAGAGGAAGGGAGAGGGGAGGGCAAAAGCAGAGCAGAGATCACCAGCTGCTGAATTTCCCGCTCGATCCGAAGAGCATGCCAGATTGGGGTGGTGAGCTGGGCAGCGTTTGTGAGAGTACTGCGAGCAAAATTGACATTGTTGAAGGGGCCCCAGGACACACAAATAAATACACACAAATAAAAATATTCCCCATATTTTCTTATATGTTCTTGGTTTTTGTCTTCCCCCCCACTTCCCATATTTTCTCATATTTTCCAGAGGATCGACGATGAATTGTGTCTGTGTGTTTTTTCTCCTCCTGAAAGACCGAGGCTCCGAACGGAGTGGCTCAGGCCCGGTTGCTTACAAGCGGCTCAGTCCCCGTAGCAGACCTGCACCCGTGCCAAGAGGAATCCAACTATCACATTGAGCCACAAAGTTACGAGGAGGAGCGGGGGGGGGGAGGAGGAGGAGGACGACGAATTACGGGAGGAGGGAGTGCGGGAGGAGGAGGAGGAGAAGGAGGAGGAGGTGGAAAGGGAGGAGGGAACAACAAGGAGGAAAGGAAGATGGAGGAGGAAACAGGGAGGAGAGGAGTACGCGGCGGCGGCGGCGGAGGCAAGGGAAGAGGAGGAGGAGGAGGTGGAGAGGAAAGCGGGAGGAAGCAGCAAGGAGGAGCAGGGAGGGGAGAGGGAGGAAGGCGGAGGGGGAAGAGGAAGCCGAGGAGGAACCAAGGAGGACCAGGGATGGTGGCACATCCTTTTCCCGCCCGCCCCCCCCGAGCTCAAGGGGCGCGC